TTAATTGAAGCTGACTTCTGCGAATGATCTAGTAAATTTTGAAACTTTCTGCTTAAGGTTACTTTAGCATTCGACCTAATAGAATCACAAATCAAAATTGACCCACCCACTGTTCTCTTCCAAAGGGATTCCTCCAAATACTGGACACAATAAGATTCCTTCGACTTGCATTTCTTCAATTGAAGCAGTTTCAGAAAGTTTAAGTTTCAGTTTCATAAGCAGAAAGTTTCAAAATTTACTAGATCATTCGCAGAAGTCAGCTTCAATTAAACAAAGCAAAATCGTTTACGGAAGCGCGAGCACTAAAAATGTGGTCGATAACGTACTTCTATACTTTTCGCGCAATGACAGATTTTACCAGCTAGCGCATAACGAGTCAAAAATTTCAAACCGGCCATCATTTAACCTCAAAATCAGTGATCATCACCCACCTCGGATTATTAAGCTAATACAAGGTTGACAGAAAGGTTTATTTGGGCAGCGTTTCGACGTCGTCGTTCTGTGAAGAGCCAGATTGATCCGATGATCTACAGCTGGTCACGATGTGGTTGTTCGTTGTCATATCGAGTCGAATTCAGAAAAAAACATAGAGCAGTTAATTGTTAGTCAAATTGCCGCTTAGTGAACATTTTCGAAGGAAGGATTTTTGCAAATCGTTAAGTATAGAGAATGGTTTTTCTGATCTCATCCCTACTCTTATGATCTGCTTTTGATTAGTTATCGAGGTCGATCTTGCTTAGCCGTTCCTTTTAGGTTTTCAACTTCTGGCGACGCTCGAACATCATCGTCGAGTTTGAATGAAGCACGTCAAGTACTACCGAATGGGAAAGAGGCTCCGCTTGAGGTTGGTATGGAGTATTTCGTTGTTCCGACGAATTGTGTTTATTGGCGTTTGTGGAGTCACAGAGATTTACCATTTACCGTCCTACCTCTTTTTTATTTGCTGTTTTTCTAGTTCATGTGTTTTATACTTGAATTTTTCAAATAATTTCCCATGGATGTTTATGCGTTGAAATGTCCCTGGGATTATAAAATTTTCACTAGATTACGTCTCGTGATTTTCCATCGGTCAGACGGCAATATCACGTGCAGTCACCAGATCGGTTAGAAGAATCATATGCTGATCGACAAGGATATTCGGGATATTCACATAAGGCTACCGATAATAAGTACGTTGTTTCTTGACATTATCATTATGATTTCAAATAACAATCCCTCAAGTGCATTTTAGACTTAGGTTGAATTATGTAATTGTAACTTTCCAAAGATTTGCCGCCTCATCGTGACTGGGAGGTGTTGCTAGGTGTCGAGCTGCGGTGTGCAGCGGGTTGATTCATCCTTCTGGCAGATCTCCCATGTTGAAAACGAGTCCGGCGTTTCCGTGGAGAAGCCAAGCTGAGAGTAAACCAATACCAGGAATCACCACCGTTCTGGTACCAAACTATTCGCAAGGTGGAAGCCTTCCTTTGGTTCACAAGGTCGGCGGCTGCCTGTGGTGGTGTTCGACCTGGAGCAGACTTTGGCCTGGCTGACCTTGGAACTTGGAAGAACCACAATGGCTAAAGTAGCAAAAGTCCGAAAAAATGGAGGTTATGATGGGGCCGGCACAACTACTGAGGACGAGCTATCCAAGTATATCCAAGCAAGTAATATCCGTGTCCACGTATGTAATTGTACTAACATGCTTCTCGTCAGGAAACTTCCATCGCTGTACATTCACTGTTTAAGTGCGATAATCGAGAATCGTGTCCCATTTCTTCCCACATCTTAATGTTGAACAGTAGGGTTACGTCGTTCAAAGTGTCCTACTTCCGTAATCTGCTGAACTGAGAAACGTCAAAATTGCAAGTATACGTAAAGAATGTATTAGAGGGTAGATGTTAGGGTAGTGTATTTATGAACAAATTATTTCATTTACATCTGTATATAGTCGTTTGGAGTCGCACTTTATGAGCTTGGTTTCAGCTATGGTCCAGAGTTCATAAGACCTTCGCCCCAATTACGAACATCGTGGATACGTGACGAGCGTACCGGCAAAATGGTTTCTTTAGTACGAAGCGATGATGATGATTTTGATGAGTTAAATCCCGCTCGACGGCACCGAGAACGCAATGAGAAGTGGACGGACTCAAAACGTGATGCGGATCGTGTTCGTCACACATCTAACAATATAACGATTATCACACTGGGCGATGATTCGGTTATTTGATGCCATATATGTAGGTATAAACAAATGGTGCAGATGTTGATAGCTAGATCGAGAGGATGAGTAAAGAAACAGGAGTTTTGTCAAACACATCGAAACATCCATACTGTGCATAACCCAGTGTCGTGGACTTCGGTTTCGTGTGCATTTGAGTTGGTTTGAGTTCCTACGAGATTGGCATTTGATTCCTATAAGAACAAACCGGTTATGAGCGAAACGACTCTCCACTGATGATATAGGCCTCATGTTTTGAGATTTTTAATTCTTTAAGAACTTTTTTGAAATCTATCCATATGAGAGCTTAGATACGCTGACTTTGATGTCTGTCTTTTTTTTATGCCGTGGATGATAATAATGAACGTGCTCTATGATTTTATGACGGTTCATAATTCATGTATCACTGGTAGAAGGTGAGTTCCTGCGATTCGTGAAGATTTTAATCAAGGTCCAAGTGATTTGTCATCAGACTCGATTGTTATATTATGAGAATACAAGAATCTCTTTCTTTAATACATTCCATTTTTATATACACTCAGTTAGAGTGAAGTAGAGGTCTTTTCTTCGTCATGTATTTTCAATTCTGTGTGATATTCTTTCAGCACAAAGTTTGTCATTTTTACAGCGTTTAATATTTTGCAGATGTTCACAGATTATACTTATGGTACGTGATTCTCTTTCCTAACATAATACTGTGTAAGCAATGTTGTGGATGTATGTATTCTTTCTTGATAATGTATTATGTATGTATTCGAAATGTTGTGGATGTTTCATTTTATGCCATCTTCTTTAGAATATTTATTTCTTGAGTCCTTTCGGTTGCACTTCGCATAATGTTCTGCTACGAAAAAAGATTAGGCAGTAAATGAAAGTTAAAACATGATTTCGACTACAACTTCAGCTTGATTGGGTTTAATGTCGATTTGTGTTCCCCAGATCGTTCTCATTGAGAGGTGACTGCTTGTACCACTGGTAGTGTAAAAATATAACTAAGGAAAAAGTAAAACAAGGGCCTCGGTCTGTGTGGTGGATAGCAGTTGAACTGCGGAAAGGGTAGTCACTGGTTAGAAGCACATCTGAAGTTCTAGCTATTCATTTATTGTTTGTGTATATTAAGCTGTGTTTTGTTAGGTTAGGTTAACTCCAAAATAACTCCAACTTCAAAGTAACTCCAAAATAAATGAAATTCGGTTGGTAGTTCGCGAGCACTTTTTAATGAAAAGGCATGTTTTGAAGAGGCAAGAATTATATTACGTGTTGTGTGCTGCGACAACATCGACGATTGTGTGATTAGTCTAGCACTGGCATTAGGAGAATATTGTTGATTGAATGTGTCGTTTTCTTGTTCAGCAATCGCGAGGTTTTTAAACAGCATACATTTACTTCCATAAAAACAATACAATACAACGTTAGCTGACGTTTCGGCAGTATCGCCTTCTTCAGAGCCGCTTTTTCGTGACTTCCAATGAGGAAGTTTAGAACAGCTGATTATAGTCGCATGGTTGACGACTCTGTTGATTGAGCTAAATTTATGTCAGGAAAATTCTGATAAGGTTTTGGAATTGCGCTTATTATTGCTAATAAATAAATGAATTTGTGTTACCATGTCTGCTGATCACGAAAAAGTGGAGTTTTTAATGGTTTTTCCGCTTGAGCAACATGAAGTTGGCAAACGTTCTTGGTTCGATTTCACGATAAATCGCGTAGGTTGACAAGCAGTTCCCAATACTGGCGACATTTAATCTTCCATCTACAAAGTTGTGTAAGCTCTCCAGTAATCGCCCTTATTCCAGTTTTCTCAGGAGATGGAAGACTCACGACGATAATTTGATATGAAGTAGTATGGCTTGCTATCGCGACACTTCGATTACTTTCCTAAGAATTATGAGGATGTGTACGGATGACCACCGTTGTTTTACCGATTTACAATGTAAGATAAAGGACACGAGAAGTCTAATACAACTGTTTAATATATAATTCACTACTTTCATAGTAAACATACACGAGGTTGTTACCATACTATTTATCCACTCGTAATAGCCGACGTTTAGGTGGTTTCGCTTTCTTGAGAACCTGGAAAAGGTCAAATCTACACACAATTCAATCATGCACCTTCCTAATCTCAGCAGATTGAAGTTAATACGTTAGTTTCACTCGTATAATAAACAGCCAGCTCCTTTTAAACATCATCGTTTTATTAAATCAAAAAACCGACTTTTCGTTAACCTCGGCAATGTGGCAATTAATCAATGTGTATTCCTTCATTGACAAACCAACACGAGGTTGATTACAGCTTCATGGTTATCAACACGTTATCAACCTTCTGTTAGATTATGAATGAAAGAATACTCATCGCACTGCTCCTTAGAAGTTTTCTAGTTGTTGTTAGAGACTGGCCGCACGGAGTCCTAGATGGGTGGAATTATGTCTGGTCCAGGTTAAAAAATAAGCTTGAGGTACTGCGCGAGACCACGCATGATCTAGAAGGATTCCATGCGGTCCCTTTCTGGAATTTTGGGATTTATCGAATGCGATTTAGGAGTTTTACGTGCTGATGTTTTAGATTCCTTTACGAGGACACTAACCTTACTTCAAAATTGAGAAATGTTTGTTAAAATCGATGAGGCACCTTTGGCGTAACCGTTGAAACTGTCATTTTTTTTTCATGAGAACTTCAAGATTGTGTGGTGAAGACTGGATTTCTCGAAAATTTGACCTCAAATGATTGATCTTACGTTAAGTTTCACGTTCGATTCAGAACTTCGGCTCTGCTTATCAGTCAGTGTGAATCGGCAAACAAAATTGATTTAGGCACCATTCGCAATCACGATGACGTTGAAGGACAGTAACCTTGTATATATATATATATATATATATATATATATGTATATATGTTCATATGTACATATATAGTATATATTCCTGATACTTGTTCGGCTAGCGTCCCTTCCTAATTCGTTTTCTTTTTAATTTTCTCTCTCTTCTGCACATTTTTGCGTTGTCTAGCACGCTTTTTATGTTTCACAGGGTCTTGTCCAAGTAGGAGGGTGATTAGTATTATGCCATCGTAATTGGTGGCATCTTCACCTTTCAACTTTTAATCAATTTTCATTATTTTCGTCAGAGTTATTATCTTCCTTGTTCTTCTAATGTTTACACGATTAAAATACAGTTAAACAAGAGAAGGAAGTATGATTAGAGTACTACTTCCAAGAGTGAATCACTTCGACGGTGAGTTTGCTCAAGCCCTGCGCTCTGTACATCCAACCTGATTTGAGAAAATCCTTAAAGCATGCATTGCTTGGAAATATTGGAATGCCTGAGAACGTATTATTTTATATTCCGTTTTCTAAATGAGTGGTTGGTTAGTTGGAAATCAAAATTTCATCTATTTCATTCAACGTGAATATCTAATCTCTTTCGGTCGCCAAAGTAACCGTTACTTCGTTAGATGAAATGCCTAGAATAAAGCTTAAAAAAGAAGCTATTTTTCCTTTCTTTATTCACTAAGTCAGGATAAAGGATGAAAAGGTAAGGCTCGCGAAGTTGATCGATCCTTAAGAGATGCACCATGCATTCGACTTCATTAAGGATCGTTTGGAGGTGATTGAATGCATATCTGGCCTTTACAATGACTGGCGGTGCTCTATCGATGTATTCAATCAATGGTGTTATCCTCCCATATAGTTCTGGTAACAATTTTCCGAGCTTGGAGAGTTGGAGGGTTTGGAAGGTCAGGGGCACGGGATCGATCTTATGAGTATTGCAGAGTACCTCTAACCATTGCGTTACACACTTTCCATAAATCAGGGTTGTTATCGGTATTTATTGATCGAACCAAAAACTACTCATTAAATTCACGTTGTCTGTGTACAGCTCGAATATTATAGATTTTTACGTTCTTTTTTGGTGTGATTGCTTTCGCGGACCAGCTAGTTGATGATGGTTTAGAATGGTCGTCTCTCAATACGTTCACCGACGGACGTCTTAACAATGGGTACCACCGTCTGCGCCGCTTCACAATCCTATTTCGATTTTTCGGGGTCGTAGTACTAGAGAAAAGGGTGAGTCAATTATGGTTACTCAATCTAGAGAGTTGCGGTAGTACTTCATTCTAATGCATTCTGATAACTCATAAATTTAATTGCATATACATATAACTGCGACAATTTTTAAAAGAAGTTCCAAAATACGCATAAATTCTGCGATAAGGATGAAAAGGATAAAGCTCTCCGCGTTGATCTATCCCCGAGGAATGCGCCATGCATTCGAATTCATTAAGCATCGCTTGGAGGTCATTGAATGCATATCTGGCCTTTACAATGACTCGCAGTGGCCTACTGATGTATCGAACCAGTGGCGCTATCCTCCCATGTGGGCTACAAGCATAAGTCTGATTCCAATTTGCCGACTCCAGAGAGGTGGAACGCTTGGTGGTCGATGGACGAGGGGATCAATTCCATCTGTGTGTTGCAGGGTGCCTCCGACCACCGTGCCACATGAGCCCATTTCCACGATAAGCGTCGAATTGTTAGAGTGATAGAACAATAAGTAAAAAATGACAACCTTTAATCTGTATTTGCCGCCTATTATTTTCTCATAGCAAGGTGCCATATGGGCTTAAACCATAAGTTTGCTGAGATATAAGCAAAACTCGGAACCTTAGCTAGCCTTCGAACCTGCGAATACCCTTTCCGGGGACTCATCTGCAATTCACCACACCAACCGAGAATTAGTAGATAATAATAGTAAAGGTAACTACAAATAAGTTCCAGGTCACGAATGATACAGCCGAATCATATGTTTGATACGCCTCGTTATGATCTCAACAATTTTCGTCAATTCACCGATAACTCGATTACAACGACCAAATACAGTCTTCTTACCTTCATTCCGCACAACATCTTCTATCAGATGTGTAACAAATACGCAAACGTGTATTTTCTATTTATAGCTGGTTCGATTCCATATTTCATTACGTCGTTCTCTTCTATTTTTATCCCAGTTCCGTTTGATTTTAAAGCAACTCACATTTAGTGCTAAATTTCTGTCCGCTATTTGGCTCCTACACAAAGTTTCTTGGTCTGGTGCCCATAAGCTTCGTGCTTGGCACAACTCTTATTAAGGTAAACTGTATATGTACTTAAAGGTATAATGCACCCTCTTATTATGAGATGAGCGTCTAATATTCAGAATTCTGGATATGTTGTGACCATTTAGGACGGTTTTGAAGATAACAGAAGGTGGCGTTATGACAACAAGATCAATACGAAGACATGCCATGTATGGGATCGGTACGTTGGAATTTGCAGTTGAAATATCGATTAGAAACAGATTTTTACTGCCATAGTTGTAGATACAGTAGTCTTCTTAAGATGGTATCCCAAGCAGGATACATAAGTTCTGAGCTCTTTGTTTTTTGAGTATATGCAAGCTTCCAGGGATCGACAAATGTTCCGAAAAATGCAATGGAAGCATATCATCGTCGGTGATTTTGTACACGTCTCGAATGAACAAGAAATGCCCGCTGATGTGCTCTTCTTAAGGTAGGTAGTATTACGACAATATTAATTTCGGATTTCCATTCTCTGCTAGTTCCTTTTCTAAGTTACTCATCTCTTCGAGTAGCAACCAAATCGGTTTCTAAAGGACTATAAGAACCAGGGCGATATTGTAAAATAAGACTTTTGTACCGGACCTGGATGGTGTAGTGGTGAAGTGCGCTGCTCCCCGGTAAGGACAACAGCGCGTGTTCGTTCCCCACTGCATACACCTGTGGTCCGGAGTTTTGCAAATATCTCAGCACTTCATACGAGTTAAGACTTTTGTATTGTATTAATGGCTGACGTCATGATTGTTTGCCCCCTGCCCATGAAAAGTAATCTCTTCATCACAAAGGACTCATAGAAATAGATCAGTATACCAAAATACATACTTTTTCATGAGTTGGTCGTTCCAAATTACTTTTTCCAGTGTTAACCTTTTTATTTACTGCCTATTCTAATTTTTATGGCAGGGTATTATGCTAAATTCAACCACAATGGTGCTAAGATGCTCGCAGAACATTCACTCTATGCCAGGTGGAACCACGACAACCATTTCTAGGGACTCACGTGCTACACACTGCACCAATGAGGCCCTTGCTTTGGCTTCCTCTAGCTAGTTTTCTCTCTAACGCTGCCATCAGCAATCATCCGTCAACAGGATTCATGTGCAGATACAAGTGGCATTGAACCCAGTTAAGTTGAGGCTGTAGCCGAAATCACAATGTTAAATCCTTTTAAACTTATTATTTACTGCGTACTCTTTTTAACGGCAGGATATATATTGCGAAATATAACTTCAATGATTCAATGATGCTGAGATATTTGAAAAACCCCGGGCCGCTGGTGTCTGCAGTGGCGAACGAACGCGCTATTGCCCTTCCCGGGAGTAACGCGTTTCCCACCATACCATATGGGTCCTTCGTTTCGCCTGTCTCTCAGTTAACTGGGGTCGCTGCTGATTTGGGCTCTCCAAATCAATATCGCTGATGGGTGATTGTTGATGGCAAAAGATCAATAGAACTAGTTGAGAGACAGGCGAAACGAAGGACCAGCATGGTGTGATGGTGAACGTGTTACGCCCCGGAAAGGACAACGGCGCGTTGATTCACCACCGCAAACACCGGCGGTCCGGAGTTTTGCAAACATCTCAGCATTACATACGAATTATTTTTTCATTTCTTCTATTTTTACATGATCCATCAGCACACCTACTGTGCTAATCTCAGCACTTTGCGTTCCCTTCGTTTTTTTCGCACTCATCGTCGACAAAGGTCTTCGAATACTTTGCGTGTTGTTTCTGCTGCTGCTTCAGGATTTCGACTTGTTTACGAATGTCCCTGGAAAAAGCCGGGCTAAGGTATTCCCACATGGATTGGTGTTGAGCGTTAAAGCGAAGATCGAACTAGAGCCTTTGTTTTCTGGTCTAAGGCATCACTAACCACTGCGCTATCCTGAGATATTATTTAACCTCATCATAGAAGTTATATTTCGCAACATACCCTGTCATTAAAAAGAGTAGGGAGTAAATTAAAAAAGGCTAAGATTTATTAAGCATCGTTGGAGGTGACTGAATGCATATCTGGCCTTTAGAATTACGCTGGCCTACCGATGTATCGAGCCAGTGCTGCTTATCTTCCAAACAAGTCTGGTACCAATTTGCCGACCCCAAAAGGATGGAAGGCTTGGTGGGCCACAGGCCGGGATCGATCCCATGTGTGTGTTGCAGGGCACCTCCGACCACTGCGCCACATGTACCCCATACAATATAGTAAATAGCGTAATTGTATATTATATTATATTTGCGCAGTTGTTGGAAGGCATTCCAGTTCATCTCACTGACACTCGAATATTTCTGGATTGTCTAGGTAACACGCGTCCTAACAGCCCGTACGTGATAGAGCCCTTCAATGTTATCGTCCTTTATTTATACTGGCTCCTCAAATGACTCCGGTACGCAAGCTATTCGCGAGCTCTTTATCTAGTACGAAGGAACAATAATATTTCAACTGTCCGAGAAATATTATGCAGAAATGAAAGTTTTATCAATGAAACAACGACTGGCAGAAAGCCTTGCCATTACGTTCGAGTTTAAAATTGAAGCCTCCATTCTTTGTCTCAGGTCACTGCTCTACCGTTGATATATCGACGACTGTTGTCATGTGATCAGCAGAGCAGAAAGTGGACAAATGTTTTGAACTGTTGAACCACTGTCATGGTCCATAAATTTCAGCCAAGAAAAGCCGAAGAAGGGCTGTCTTCCGCTTTTAGACGTTTACATCCAAAAACGGCTACATCACCAAATGCTACCGAAAGCTAAGTAACAACGAATTACTGGTTCACTACCTTTTCTCTCATCCCTTACACATAAAAGGGCGTTTGTGAAAAAAATGCTTCCGACACCCGCCAATGTGTGCACAGGAAGGGAGCAGAAAGAGGAGTTCCTGAAATTGGAGGGGTAGGTAAGTAATTCAAATAGTTAGGAACACAGTAGCTCCTCGGGATAATCTAGAGGAAAAACAAAGGAAATTATATGCACAGCTATAAGGCGATCTTTAGAAAAAGCTCGTCTACTAAGGTCTAAATACCACCGAGCACTTCAAAATATCAACTAGTTCGTAACTGGTCATATGAACGCCTGTATACAAAAGAGAATTTCCTAATTTTCACTAATGGTAGGGAAGGCGATTGCATGAATTCAGAGACTATGTGCCTGATTTCTGTGTGGGGACAAATGCGTTGGCGAAACAGGTACACCACTCCACGTTCGTGTAAAGGAGCGCTTATTTGGGAAATAGAGTAGAACACTCCACTAGACATGCATAGGAAACGAAAAAACGGAGATTTTGCAGTAAAGATCACTATCCTCGCACAGTAATCCAAGACATCAACACATAAAACCTTCCAAAGGGTTCAGGATAAGCTGAACAAGTCCAAAAATGAAGCTTAGGGGCGCGTGCCTCTGATTGCATGTGATCTAGTGCCATACCTCTGGCTGATTTCTTGACCAGAGCCAAGCACATTGTCCACCAAATAAATGGAAAGCCTGCAAAGGACAAAACGATGAGTGTTTAAAAGGCGCTGCTTACAGTGCGAATGAAATTTATGAATTAGATTTTCTCTGCTGAGGTTATGAAAGCCTTTGGTTGGCCTTGGTATCTTCTAAATGAGTAGCAACTGTTTAAGGTGGTCATGGTTTTTAAGGTCACGACACGAAAGTAATGATGAATAACGGTCGAGCTCCCCACAAAACCTCAGGTATAGAGCAACTGACGAACAGGTAAGCTAGCACGATAGTATTCAGATCTACTGCAAGTAGAACTTTCTGCTTTCAGATTTATAGTGATTTGTATGGTACTACTTGTTCTGATGGTCGTTGCTCGTTCATTGATGTTTGGCATTTGGTCTAACGATCACTCTACCTCGAAAAAGAACTCAAGTCTTAAGCCGGTCAGATGCCGTTCTCAACATTTAATTCCACGTAGCACCTTTTTTGGACCAGATATCATTATTATTTTGGAGAAGTTATTAACTATACTAGTTGGTACAGTGTATAAGACTTCGAGTCAGCCTTCGGGTACATAGGAATTACTTACTCGATGTAGAAAGTTCGGATCTACAAGAATTTGCCAAGCCGGATTTTTGACGTAGTCACAGGGAACAATCTCAAGCTTAGGTTATAACTGTTTATACCGATGTGTCGTTTTCTTGTTCAGCAATCGCGAGGTTTCTAAACAGCCTACATTTACTTCCATAGAAAAACACAATACAATACAACGCTAGCTGACGTTTCGGTAGTATCGCCTTCTTTAGAGCCTGGAAGGGTATACTGATATACAATCTACTAGGCCAAGCGGTTCAATAACACTTACAAAAAGACGAAAAACTCTTTGGTAATTACATGATTTTTTATGGAAGTAGATGTATGCTGTTTAAAAACCTCGCGATTGCTGAACAAGAAAACGATATATTCCAATGCCGAGGTTAATAGGAAGTCGATCCTAGGAACTGTTTATAGCGATGTTAACGATACATTATTAACAATCTAACAATATCTGGTTGAGCGAACGAGTACGAACGGAGCACTTCAAAGAAGCTGAGCGGGAGCACTGGAACAGTCACTCGGTAACTAATAGTGCTCCTTGTATTGGCTTCAGCAATAAACGGAGTTTTGACAGAAGAAACTAGGGATAATGCACAAAGAGAGATTCGCGAATTTCTTCGTTAGTACAATCTGATAGAGCTGTTCTAAACTAGGATATGGAACATGCTGAAAAGTGCATCAGGTAAAGCGGTATACTTGAAGCTGGGTTAACACAAAGTTTATCAGATAGCGATTCAAAAGATTGTACAGAATGTTAATCGGGTAGCGATTTGCATAGAGTGCAAGGATAAATGTGCTTACTAGTAAAAACGGCTAATAGCAAACATGCAATGATATGGAAAATACAAACTATTCTGAGAATAGTTACTATATCTACTCTTGGTTTTATTACAGGACCCATTTGTTGCATGGAATTCACCTAAACCTGTTCTCGATAGCGTCTACAATGTGGGTGCCTATATTATATGCTTTCAGGTGAACCAGTAAAGTTCTTTAGGTCTTTTTCCGTTGTCCATTTTTGGCTTGTTAACATATTAAAGGCGCGTGTGGGGCAATGGTTGGAGGCGCCCTACGACACACACTTGGAATCGATCCGCGCGCCCGTGGTCCATCAAGCCTTCCATCTTTCCGGGGTCGGCAAATTGGTACCAGGCTTGTCTGGGAGGATAGCAGCACTGGCTCGATACATCGGTAGGCCACCGTGAGTCATTGTAAAGGCCAGGTAATGCATTCAATCACCTCCAAACGTTGCCTAATGAAGTCGAATGCATGGCGCATCCCTCAAGGATTGATCAATACCGAGGACTTTATCTTTTATTCTTTTTGAAATATTGAGCTGTTATGCAGCTTTATGGTGTTCAGGTGATCGTTCAAATTTCTCTCTATATCACTGTTGAGATAATTAAAGCAGCCGAGATTTATTTCTTCAATCAGGATATTGAACTATACCACACAGATACGGTATGTTTTCCACACTCCAATAAAGTGTCATTGCTGAATACTCCAGAAATTTATATTGTATCTTGTTATTCTACATTTATTATGTTCACCACTTCTCTGTATACTTGAGATTTCTCTTTCGTGTATTCATGCTGGATACAGCAGGAGGAAGAGAGCGGCTAGGAGAACTTTCGAGAGCATCGAGGACGTTGTGAAGAGAGCAAAGAACACCCGATTCCTTGCCCTCCTCACTCCACGATTCTTTCTGCCCTAACGTTTGCGTGAGAAACTTGGTCGCTGCGTAAGCAGGATGAAAGACCACTCAACGTTAGTGAACGAGCAGTCAAAAGAACGATGCAAGAGTATCCCGTAACAAGCAAGTGAGGGAAGGAATCCAAGGCTCCGACCTATATAAACGATCAAAAATCGTCGTTCTGAACACCAAACTGTCGAAGAAAAAGACGTCGTTCTATGTGCTTAATTTTGGAACAAAAGGTGGGCCGGTCACGTAATACGTAGGAACGACAATCGATAGACAAGATCCGTTAGTGACTGGATTTCTCTGGATGTTAAACGCATTGCAGGAAGGCCACCGATCCGGTGGTCAGAATTCTTCACGAAAACCATAGAAGAGAGGTATGATGTTGAGTGACTTTCTAGAGTGAGTAGAACCTAATGGCATACTTTTGCACGCGACAAGGAAAAGTAGAAGATTTACTGACGCCCGCTCGAGTTACTCGACTTTGTGGGACTCATTTTCTCCCCTAATTACCGGTGAAATTGTTGCACCTGTCACGTTTTCAATTTGACGCCAATCTAATTCCAACAGTATATGCGCTGTTTAAGGAGCCTTTGAGTGGGACAGTGAGTTTCTTTATGTGCATATGCAGGCCTGTGTTCAACTGCTTGTTCTGCCCACTATCTACCAGAGGTCATTCGCTTTATCACGAGCGTCTTTACAATGAATAAAAACCATGCATGTCCAACAACTGGCTCTCTGGATTAACTGTTAGGCAGGGTCGGCATATAGAACTTCAACAATCAATCGGTGCTAGAACACGGTTTTTGTGTAAACTTTCACGAATTCTATGGCAATGTAACCACTAAGTTTATAGTGTCCTTTGTATGCATTCTAGGATCGTCCAATTGACTGCAGATCACTGAACATACCTGAAGAATTAGGCCAGGTAAATACATGAATCGTTCGAATTTTTTTTGCAATACTTTTTAATCTTTACTTTGACTGTCTGCAAATCATTGTACCCAGCAGATGTTTTTCCAATATATTTTACGTTAGCCTAATGTTGCATCCTTACGAAGCATGTGTTCTGCTTTACGATCAGTAAACAAAGAACTTTTCATATTCCATGAACTCTGTTCCACTGTCCCGATGATCAGAAACATTTAGACCAATGTCACTAGTTGGGTCTTTGGTCGATATTCCAGAGGAGAAAGAACTTGTAACTTCAACACCTAGCAAGTGGACAACTTTTTCATCGAACTCATTAACATAACGTAGGATGTAGACATGTGGTAGTCACTGATTTCAAATAGAATTATTTCTGCACAACACTGTGAAAACTATGTTTGGACTTTATTACAAAAGAACTAAAATTTCAGCTTTATTTTTCTTGAAGGTTTTTCCACGCCGCTCACTCCAGTGTCACTGGATTACGATAACGCGACTTTTACCTCCTCTAAGCCAGTATCCAGAGTGTCGTCGTTCTCGAAATTTGTGAAACAGAATTTTATATCACCAATAACCACATTGTGCGTAATGGTTTGCCATTATCAGTTGTCGTTGAGATAAGTTTATCATAGAGCCTAACAGGTACTAAAGTAGTGTCAAGAAGCTATGTATTACTTACCAAGGTAACCATGATTGATTTGCCCAATCAACAGAGGTGGAAAAATATATACCTGCTAGGGTGCTTGGACGGTCCACCCTCACTGGTTCTGTAGGCTCCAGCGTGTTCTCAATTTTTCGGAGTTTTGCTGCTTCAACCATTGTGTTTTCTTGGAGTCCCGAGGTAGTCCAAGCCGAAGTCAGCCCCAGATCGTCACCACCACAGACAGTTGCCGCCCTTCTGCATCGGAGGGAAATTTACCACCATGCGACTAGTTTGGCACCAGGACGGTGATCGATCCTGGTATCGGTTTACTCTTAGCTGGGCTTCCTGATGGAAGCGCCAGACTTTCCCTTTGCTGGGGAGACCATGCCGCGAGGATGAATCCCGCCGCTGTACATCGCATCCCGACACCCAGGAACACCTCCCAGCTGCGATGAAGCGGTAAACTCTTGTGAGGATATATATATATTTCCACGGATCTCGCCCATATGGGGATCTCGAGCCGGTTAGTTGCGAGGCTACGTGGTGCGTCCCCAGGTAGCGGATAGGGGGTTAAACGCGGACCAAAAGCGACCTTTGCTTCCCTGAGACGCAGGTGGATCCAGGGGATGGACTCCCTGTTTGTGCTGCGCTGATCTGGCATATACTTTCTGTATTTGCTAGGCGTATTCATGCATGCGTGTGTGGGTGCGTTCTTGCTTATGCGGATTGTATTCTACGAGTCAATTCGCCCAAAAGCCTGCAATCAAGTGGCTGGGAAATATATGGGAGGCGGTTAGGAGCTACCCATGAGTATACCTAGCCCCCACGTTCAGAGTCCAGCAAGCTATACGTGGGTATCAAAAAATGCTAAACACAGTCCTCGATAGAAGACATGCAACCGAGAAGGATAAGGTACGACGTCATCGGCCTGGCCGAGACGAGACGAGGTCACCCATTCAACCATTCAGCGCCATCTATGACACCGGAGAAGAACTGTTCCTCGCAACAGGCGACAATGGAGGAGTCGGCGGCGTCGGCGTTCTCGTCAACACGAGTTTGTTCACGAACTTCGATTCATTCGAACAGCTTACAACCCGAATCAGGTGTATACGATTAAAAAGGTGCAGATCAGTACCTCCTTTCACAATCTTCGTTGTCTACGCGCCGACATCAAACTATAACGAAGAGGAAGTCGAAGCGTTCTGTATGGACTTGGAGAAATTCTACAGAGAAGACCATACATTCTTCAAGGCAACCAATGGAGATTTCAACGCCAAGATTGGACCTACTGTGAGTTTATCATGGCAACCAAGACCATCCATGGTAACTCGCAATTCCAGAAGGAACATGCGACAGTAGAGGAGTCGGCGGCGTTTGTCAACACGAGTTTGCCCATAAACATCGATTCATTCGAATAACTTACAACCTGAATAGCGCGTTTACGATTGAAAAGACGTGGATCAATTCCGGCCTTGACAATGTTCGTCGTTTACGTTCCGACATCAAACTATCACGAAGAGGAAGTCGAAGCGTTCTACATGGACTTGGAGAAGTTTTACAGAGAAGACCACATATTCTTTAAGGTCATCATTGGAAATTTCAACGCCAAAATTGGACCGAGAAGAACGTCTGAAGAACGTCACATTGGGACCCACGGATTAGAATGGAAGGAACAGGGTGAGCGGCTATCTCGGTTAATCATAGCGACGAGGACAATCCATGGTATCTCGCAATTCCAGAAACCGCACCCTCAGTGCTGGACGTGGGAGTTTCCCAATAGGGAGTTCCATAACGAAATAGACCACATCATAGTAAATAGAAGGTTTTGCCTAACCGATGTCGCTGTTGTCCCAAAATTCTACACTGGATCAGACCACCGTCTCCTTCGAGCAAGATTCTATTTCTTGCGGAATGGAGAAAAAGCCGCTACATTCCAAAACCGAAGTCCGAGAACAACCGTAAACTGGGATTTATTCAATTCATTAGTCAACTGTTGGGAAGATGCCGTTGTTGATAACATCGACGAAGAATAGGATCCGCTCATTCAACATCTTCACCTCAGCGCTATGAAAGCTCAGAGTTCGAAAGTCAGCAAGAGACGTTTGTCTCCAGAGACACTCGAGCTGATACGCAGTGTGGAATCGTGTCAGCTGCAGGCAACCGCAAACTAACGTCCGAACTTGCAAAATAACGCAGAGAGGCGATAAAAGATCTTAAACAGAGAAGAGTAGCAGTAATGGCCGAAACTGCAGTGGCTGGGAAAAGCATTCGCAAAGCCCACCGATGCTTCGCCAATTACAAGACCAAGATGATTTAACTCCGACGCCCATACGGTACAGTTACAGCGTCCAGAAGGGCAATGGAGAAAATCATCGACGAATACTACTCAGATCTCTTCGATAACCACGTCCACATTCCCTCATATGAAATAAAGGAGGATGGATATGTTGTACCACCGGTTCTCCCCACCGCAATCCGACATGCCATGGTGAAAAATCGAACAGCACTAGGTCCGGAGAGAATAAGACCAGAAAACCTGAAGAACTGTCTGTAGATCCTCGTAAACACACTGGGTCGACTCTTCACACGTTACCTGCCTAAATGCAAGGTCCTTCCTCAGTGGAAAACCAGCAAGACCGTGTTATTGTTCAACAAGGGTGACCTACATGATATCGGCAACTATCGTCCAATCTGCTTGCTGTCTGTCTTCTACAA